AGATCTTCTATGATTGATGATAGAAAAGATAAAGATATTACAGCTTATCCAGTAAACAAACTTAGCTATTTTTTTTTACCAAGTTTGGTCCCCATAAAGGACTAGTGTTGCAAGCATCGCTTTTTCGGCAATTAGGGTGTTGTGCAGCTATTTAATGTGGTGAAAATTATTTAAGCACTGGAGAGATTTATTCACATGGAATTGGAGATAGGGCTGATAGATTTATTTTAAATAAATTGTGAATCTGCGAAAATATCTTTTCAGCAGATGGAAACACTTTTTAACCTTTTTCCCGAAAATGTACATACAGGCTCGAAAATATGCGAGTAACATTAGGTTTGTATAGTAACTTTAACATTGCAGCGAGAGCGTAAAAGCAAAATAGAGCGTTAAATTGAGAAGAAGAGAAAACTAGCAGAAGAACCAGTGTTGCCGTTTTGGTTACTTTTAACCAATTTTGGTTATTTTTTTCTTGCCTGTGAAGTTGTTAAGATCTTTCCCATTTTGGTTATTTTTTAATATTTACTGTAGTTTTTAATTTTTGTATACGTAAAATACTTAAATCTTTGAAAAATAGTATAAACAAATACATTTATTCTGCTGAATATGGTTATTTAAATAAAGGTATTACTACTAAAATGGCAACTCAAGATTCGACTTATTTCGATAATAATCATGTGATTACATATGCAAAAGAACATGTAAAAGTTCGAGGGTGCAACTATCGGTTCGTGTCTTTAATAAATCGTGGTGATTTAATCGCCAAGTTTTTGAAACGGCCCGGCAGTTGCACCATCTCTATGTTCTTTGCACACACATATGTACGTGAAATGACATTTGAATAATAAGAGAATCATTTAAAAGCCGCGAAAAGTTATTAGAATTCCGCGCAAAATTGGTCTTTCAAGTAAATTTATACGGGCTCATTGCTATGGATAAGTGAGCAGAAAATACACAATTTTGGTTTTATTTTGTATAATATGTATTTCTAAAAATCTTTTAAATTAGGTTCGTGATAAGACATAGGCCAGCTACACCTGTTGAGGTTGTGGAGAGTAGCAGCAGCAGTGGCAGCCCCAGCAGTGAAACCAAGTAAGATTATTTGAAATGAATGTATTAATATTACTTACATATGTATGTATTTGTTTTGTAATATACAGACAGCAACGTAGTAAGAAAAAAGTCGCAGCAAGAAAATTTCGCCATGCATGGCTAGACCAATTTCCTTGGTTGCAAAATGTCAATGGGGCAAGCCATTGTATGGCTTGCGACAAAAAGTTGTCGAACCATGTCACTTATTTAAAGAAACATGGTTCCTTGGCCGTACATTTGCAAAACGTGGAAAAAAAGAAAAAACAAATACAAATCCAAAAGTTTTTGAGTAGCGAAGAAATAGCGCTATCTAGACAAGTAAAATACGCTGAGCTAACACTTGTCATGTTCCTTATTTGCCATAACTTACCATTCCTTCTTATGGATTTTTTACCAGCGCTTCTAAAGGAGTGTTGCCCTGACTCTAAAATTGCTGCGGCTATTCAATGTGGCAGAACGAAGTCAACCGAAATTGCTGACATTTTGGGCAACAAAGCCAAAGATAAAATCGTATGTAAATTAAAATCGTCAAAATTTTCCCTCATTGTGGATGAGACAACTGATTTGTCTACAAAGAAATGTTTAGTCTTAGTTGTAAGATATTTTGACAAACTAACACAAAGGGTACATGATTCGTTTTTAAGCTTAATTGAATTAAGAAATTGTGATGCAAGTTCCATTTATGATGCAATCAAACAGTTTTTTTGTGAACAGGGTATTCCATTAAAAAACATAATCGGTTTAGCCACCGATGGTGCCAACGTAATGGCGGGACAACTTAATGGTTTAAGGGCAAAGCTTAAGCCCGATACTGATCTTTTTTATATTAAATGTACCTGCCATTCGTTACACCTATGTTCGGCGTATGCAAGTAAACAGCTTCCTCACAAAATTGAAGAGCTCTGTCGCAACATTTTTAGTTTTTTTTCCCAAAGCCCAAAACGTGTTGAAGAGCTAAAGGAGTTTCAGGAGTATTGTATGGTACAACCACATAAAATATTAGGCGCTTCCTTAACAAGATGGCTTGCTTTAGAACAAGTTATCAATAGGATAGTTGAACAATGGAACCCACTATATTTATATTTCTTAGACCGAGTTTTAGAAGTTAATGGAATTAAAGCTTCCGTATTGGCAAAAAAAATGAGTGAATTGGACGTGAAAGCATATTTTCTGTTTTTGTCATATATATTAAAAATTATTAATGACCTTAACAAAGAGTTTCAATCAGAAACGGTTCGCTTACCGTATTTGTACACGCATTTGGAAATGAATGTAAAGCTCATTGCAAGCAATTTTTTGAAGCATGAGTACGTCAAAAATTTACCCTCATTGGAAAGCATGAATATAACCAATGAAAGTAATTATTTACCTTTAGAAAATGTTTTTATTGGTTGTAAAGCAGAACTTTATTTGAAACAAAGTTCAATGTCGGATATACAGAAAACAGAAATTAAAAAAAATATTTTAAAATTTTATTTAGAACTTTTAAATCAAATCCAAAAACGCTTTGACTTTTCCAGGATAGATTTAAAAACCCTTTCTATTATAACACCATGTAAAGTTTTATCAGAATCAGATATAGAAATAGAGCCCTTGGTAAACAGTTTTTCAAGTTTAGTTGAATGCGATGTTGAAGACGTTATCAGTCAGTGGAAGCTGTTAAGGTTTTCCAACATTTGCTTACAAAAAGATATGGACATAACAGACTTTTGGACAAAAGTGTCATGTATTAAGAACGGCATGGGAAATTACTGCTTCGAGGAACTTAGTGGTTTTGTAAAAAATTTGCTTATACTGCCTCACAGTTCAGCAGCTGCTGAACGGCAATTCTCAAATTTAGCTTTAATTAAAACTAAACTTAGAAACAAATTGTGTTCGAAAACAATAAACAGTATAATGCTGTCTAAAGAGATGGGTGATAGTCAAGGGAAACTTCACTTCGTATGGTCGGCTAAAGACTACTTCAAATGAATACATACTTAGATAGTACATATATAAATACCTCGTATATGTGAAATCCAATACCACGTCATGTATGTACAATAAAAGAGATTTGGTTATTCTTTTTCCATTACTGCTTACTTTATAAATTTAAGTTAAGATTAATAATATTATAGCAAGTAGGTTCAGCGGAAAAACCATTCCACAGTTTTGAAAAAATCGGTTTTTTGCGCTTTTGTAAAATTTACTTACCATCGTATACGCGGTACTGCGTTTGGCGTATACGAGGTATTTCGCGCTGAGCGACGATATAGTTCAATACAGTCCAATTTTTAATTTTTTAATCTTAATCTTAAAATATATACAATGTGGTTGTTCACTCTTAGGTATTAAGTATTTCATTGATTCTTACAAAGAAGTTGGAAACTGTGTACCTATGTACTTATTTAAAAACATCATTTAATGGTAATGTTTACGAAGATATTAACATATATACATATGTACCTAATACGGGAAGACTGATTTCCTAAAATATGCATTTACATATATATATATATATATATGAATGTATTTCATTTATTCAGCCTTAAAAGGATTTACTTTTCAAAAATCTGTACGATTTCTTAAAGGAAATTATAAAAAAA